TGTAGTATTTGTTTTCTTAGGTTGCAATTTTTACTTCATAGTAAATGACCATCTGACAGGTGTTGTTATGTAACATAAACCTGTGGAATGTAAATGAAAATATAAAATATTATACTATAAAGGGTCTAAAGCAATTTTGACTGATGATGTGGGAGCATGCAACAAGTATTAGTTGTCTTCAGCTGCACATTTGTATTACTATTTTATGCTGTACAGCTACTATTGTTACTTCAAGGTATGATGTGATGTGGCAAGTGTTTCATCATTAAGATTTATATCAGAAATGCATATTAATAGACAAATAATTGGCAATTGATTGAGTAACATTTGTTATATGACACCCAGTTGTATTATTAGTTTGTTGATAAAAATTTTCATAAAATGAAATCATTGTATTATATAGTGTTGATGTACTTTGCTGTGAAACCATAACCATGTATTAGGCAAGAACCTGCAACAGACAATAATGAACTTTAAATGTACTGCTAAACCATTCCATCATTGAACAGTGATTTATGAACTATATATGCCTACATGGAAACCCAGTCCATACAGCTAATAACATCTTGAGGCATTATACAAGGAACCAAACTATAGCTTCTCCCTAAGCCTTCACAGCACAAAGGAACTTTATTAATCTACGATGAACTATTAAAAGTATACTATTAAACAACTGCAAATTGCAAAGAATGCTGGCCTGAAAGTCATTTCATGGCACCAATGATTAAGTGTTCAATTTGCTATAACATGATGTACAATGCCATAACTATTATCAGCACAATGACCTAAGGAAACGTATAAATACCATGATGTCACTCAAATAGCAACCAATGAATTGAATATATAAAAAAATGAATATATATGTCTACGAAATTGTGTAACAAATCTCACTTGGCATCATCAATATCAGAGAGATTAAAATTGCCATAAGGAATCGTAGTATATATGCAATGCATACAAATAACCCTTAAAATCAATCTCCCATTGATAATTTGTTTTATTTTCTGTGTGTAAAATTTTGTGTCTTCTTCATTACATTGAATATATTTGCACAGAACAATATGTTAAGCAGAAAGTCTGGCATTTATATCATTCTTGAAACTCATTGAATATTTTCTGATATGATTATGTAAATGTCATAATGCAATCCTTTAAGACCAATATACATAAACATATTAATAAAAATATAAAGTTTTATGTTATAGAATATATTAAATAATTTCCTATGGGTCTTTGTTGCAGTATTTTGCCTGGACTACCATGTGTGTTCAAATTCTATCAATGTCCCATCAGTTTATACATTACATATAGTACTTTGCCAACTTAATTTGACCCTTTCAATTGTTGAGCTACAATATCTCAAAACTGTCACAAGATTTTAATAGATTTAATCAAATCCTACTTATCGTAGAACTTTAAAAGGAATATATATATCCCATCTTTCAGTGAAAAATATTGATTTATAGTATCAAACTTTTAGGATCCATATGTACGAGTTATAACATATTATTATAGCACTGTCATATTCCTCACTTGCTGAATGATCCATGTTATACAAGTGGCTAAAAATAAGTGATGTTCAAGTGAAGACACATGACTTCAGTTGAACATCAAAAGATATTCACCAGTCATGACTTGTCCAGTGTAATTTTATATATACCCGGGAGTACACTGTTAGGATTAATTAGACATCAATAGTTTGTTTTTCCATTATTCCTTCCGGTTTCTTGGAATATCACTTAAATTAAATATTTGTATAGGGCGTCCACAAAAAAGTATACCCAGCTTCAAAACCAAATTACTAGAATCCTGAGCATTTTTAAAAATATAAAGGTAGCAGTAAAATGCCTAATTTGTCCTTTATCAAATGGTACCAACACAATTATGTAACTGTCATGTATGACTAAGCAATCATGACCATTTTGAGAGGTGGTAAAATTAGCACTGTGCCAAATTACATTCCTGTGTGACAATTAATGTGTACTTGGCTTTCATGGTTGGCTTGCCAGGTCATCCGGAATAAACAGAGTCATTTGGAATAAGCAGAGTCATCCACAATAACCTGATTCATCCACAAAAAGCCGAGTCATACAGAATAAGCTGAGTCATCCATAAAAAGCCTAGTTATCCAGAGTAAGCCGAGTCATCCAGAAAAAGATGGATGGATGGGTGAAATAGGAAGGAAAGATAGGATAGAAAAGGAAAAGAAAGATAGAATAGGAAAGAAGGATAGGATAGAATAGGAAGGAAGGATAGGATAGAATAGGAAGGAAGGATAGGAAGGAAGGGTAGATAGGAAGGATAGGATCAGACAGGATAGAAAGGAAGGACGGGTGCATTTTTCAATAATTTCTTCGCTACTCTTGACTCTCTATCAAGATACCATCAGATCGATTTTTCCCGAAATTTCAAAATGCCATAACTTCTGAACCGGAAATCAAATCGAAATTTGGTTTGCAGATTCGGATTCCTGGGGAAATTCTACCCTTAATTCATACGTTCAATTTGGAGAACTTTTTATTTTGATCTACATTTCGGAAACCATATCTCAAAATTGGGTTGAAATACTTTATGACGGCAAAAAGCTAACACTATTAGCACACTCTTTCCTACCTGTATACAACATTTTGAAGCAAATCATGAAAGTATAGTGTCAGAATTGCAAAAATAAGGAAAAACTATTAATTTGACCTATAGACTTTGAGCTAGGCATTTTGCTGACCAAATTTTGATTCTAGGTGGCTTTGAGGTCTTCTTCTTTTAAAAGCTTTCATTAAGCTGTATTCAGTCAATATCTTGTATTTAACACTTCAAAAAAATCTTTTTTCCCATTGACTTAACATGGGGCACCAAATTTAGGGATTTTGAGTTTTCAAAACGCCATCACTTCGGAACCGGAAGTCGGATAGAAATTTGGTTTGCAGAATCAGATTCCTGAGAAAATTCTATCCTTAATTCATAACTCATACGTTGAATTTGAAGAATTTTTTATTTTGACCTACTTTTCGGACACCACATCTCAAAAATGGGTCAAAATACTTTCTGACGGCAAAAGGCTAACACTATTAACACATTCTTGGCAACATGTATACAAAATTTCGAAGAATATAATTGAAGTGTAATGTCAGAATCGCAAAAAAAAAGGAAAAACTTTGAATTTGACCTAGATTTTGACCAAGGCCCTGGACTGGATATAGACCTAGACTTGACTTGGACCTACACTTGACTTGAACCCAGACTGGACCTTGACTTGGACCTGGAAATAGACTTGACTGGTATTTTTTCAATTTTTTTCACTTTTCTTGACTTTCTATAAGGGTACCATCAGATCGATTTTTCTCGAACTTTCAAAACGTCATAACTCTTGAACCGGAAGTCGGATTCCAATTCGGTTTTCAGATTCGGAATCCTGAGAAAATTTCCTATAAGGCCCATACCCTGGACATTGAATTCAGAGAACTTTTTTTCGAACCTCGTTTTCGGACACTGATATCTCGAAATCAGTTCGAGATATCAAAAAACTAAATCGACTTACGCTATCCTACTTTTTTATGAGGAACACAATGAAAAAAAAACGAATCGAAAATACTGAAGGACGACTGAGAAAATCGAAAAAAGTGACAAAGTACTGGATTTGACCCAGTTCCTGACCTTTGACCTAGATAAAAATTTGACCCAATTTCCAAACAACTAGATACTGAACCCAAATGAACTGTATAATGGTCTTTATTGGATACCTTATGGTTAAGGAGAAAACGTGTTTAGAAGAATAATAATAATAATAATAATAAGAATACTGGCAAAAACAATAGACTCCAGATTGATATCTGGAGTCTAATAAGAATACTGGCAAAAACAATAGACTCCAGATTGACATCTGGAGTCTAATAACAAAAAAGAATCAATAAATATAGAATAAAACAAAGATTTATACGAATATATAAATATTGTAGTGCCCTCAATCTGTTCTAGGTTGCCATGCCTTTCCTTTAGTTATTTCCCATTTACTTTAGAATACTCAACTGGTGGTATAATGTATTCGTGCTTGTTGGATTAAATGAACTACCATTTCAATTACTGGTATTGTTTAATGACTAAATATCGGGTAAAACTATCAGGCTTTGAAAAATTTCAAAAACGCTGATTTGACCTTGGCTTAGACTTTCATGACTGAAATAAAAACTAGTCTCTCAGAAATTAACAAAACAAAAAGCCTCGTATATGAATCAGTAAAGGATTGGTATCGATATGGAGAACTTTTTGAACACACGTTTCTCTTAAACCAGTCATATAAAAAATCTTAAAATTTAACACATCGTCAATTTAATGGTTATCTTTTGAATGGTAACAATATAATTGGAAATATATACTTTTATCTAGATTGTTTTAGAAAACACATCAAACACTTGTTTTGTTCTTAGTATCATGTTTCCCGAGTGAAATGAAACATCTTTCCGAACCCCATTGGAACAAAACGACATAAACACATGTTTAGGTCTCTGAATATTGTAATTGTACAAAGGAAATTTTGGTTGATTTTAAAAAAGTATCTTGTTAATGAAATAAAAGGTTTATCTTAATTTTTGTCTATTTTGGCTGGATTTTGTTTTAATTTTTTGTATAACCATATTGAGAGGTCTAAAAACATGTTGTATATGCTATTTTGTTCCAACCAGGTTCGGAAAGACATTTTATTTCATTCTCAAGAATTGGTAGAAAGGAGCAAAAACAGTTATATAAAATATTTCTAAATAATTTTCGCATTAAATTGTTGTCAATCAGTCAACATTACATAAAATACCGTGTTTTGTTACAAAATGTTTTCAATGATTGGTTAAAGAGAAAAACATTGTCGAATTCAGTTCGCCATATCGATACCACTCCTTTAAGTTTTCTCTCTGGTCTTTTTACCATAATATGACATGAAACTCTGTGTGGCGTATATCAACAAGCAAGTTATAGCTGCAAATATGGCATTAACAAGCATCACACTATTTGCTCCATAGTTTTGCAAGATATATCCGCTACCCCATTCAATTAAAGTATTACCAGAACCATACCCTGTATTCCATATCATAATTGCCGAGCCGGTAACATCCATGTATAATTCAGCCCAAGCCATACCCGATGCCCACACACTCGCGAAAAAGAAATCAAAGACGCATCCAAATATTCCAAAATTAAGAAGGCTCTTTAGAGAATACACAATGGCTACTACATTAATAACAGCAATTGCGTGTGTCACAATGAATACAACAATGGGAATCGGAGTATACTTTGCAATTAATATGAAAATGAACTGACCAGCTAATTGGGCGCCTCTAGCGGCTGATACGATGAGAGAAGCTTCCTGTTTAGTTGCGTTTAATGTATCCGTGGCGA